GCCCTCGCGGTGCGGGGGCAGAGCGGCGCCGAGGGGGCAGGTATTAGCGGAAACGACCCAGGGTAATTAGACCTCCACTGTGTACTTATTTGGAAGAACATGTTAATTCTGCAATATGTTTCTTAGTTAAACATTGCACAGTTCTTACCTCATTTCTGTAAATAAAGTTTTGTGAATCTGTTTTGTATTGTGAAGAATTCATAAGAAAACATTGATATTTTGATTTGTAATATTTCTAATTAGTAGATTTAATTCAAAAAGGAAAGTAATTTATTTTTATATGTTTTGGGGAATTTTTTAAAAATGTCACAAATCACTTTTGTAGATACTTTACAAAAGTTAATCAGTGGTTTATTTTACTTACTCAACCCACTGGTGAATATTCTGTAACAATTTGTACAAATGGTAAAATGAAAAATGTGCTGTTATTTTGACTAGATGTAAAATTCCAACTGTATGAAAAAATATGTACAAAGCTTTTGTTAATAAAACTTTAATAATGTTTACAGTTGTATTTTGTTGTGTTGAACATGGCTTGTATTAAAAAAAATCAATATATCTATTAATGTTACATGACAATTTTCATAGTTGCGCATTACCACTAAAATTTATTACAACTTTTAAAAATGTTTCTTATTTGAATTTTTTGCTTGCAAGAGCCCTGGAGGCGGCTGCACTGCGTGTGAGCAGAGGCAGGGGGTGGCGGGGAGCTCTCCTGCTCCCCTGGTCACAGTTGTTGTTTTCAAACTTGCAGGGCCCGGCGGCTGCTCCAGCGACGCAGGTTCAGCCGGGGGTAACGCGCTGGGCGTGCGGTGGAGATGGGACCCGTCTGTCCTGCTGCAGAGAGGCCGCGGGGCTGAGCCTGGGCTCCCGCCCTCGGGCTGTTGCTGCGGCCCATGGGACCTGCTCGAACTTGAGCTCAGATTCTGCTTCGTGTCGGTAACAGCCGCTCTGCGGGGAGCAGCGGCTCCCGGCCCCGGGGCTGGGTCTCGCTGCAGCTCCCCGGGGCAGCTCCCCTGGCGCGAGGTCGTCCTGCTCCCCCCACTCGCAGCAGCAGCAAGTCCTGCAGAGCCCCTTGCCTTTGCTTACGGGAGAGGGACTGCCGGAATTCCAGCATCTTTCCCGCTCGGAGGTAGAGACGCGTGGAAGGAGCAAGGTTGGAGGTCAGAGTGGCTGAGGACTGCCCTTCTTCAGCCTTTAACCAGTTTGAGGTTTGTGCCAAGGGCCAGGATAGGGATGGAGATCTTGCAGCAGCCAGAGCTCTTCCTGATGAACAGTCAAGAGCAGGGAACTAATGAAAAGGAGCGACTTTTCTGACACCTAAACAAAAATCCTGTTCACTGGCCCTGTGAAGAAGCACCTGCCCCCAGCCGGGGTCCCGTGAGGGCCGGGCAGAGGAGGAGCTGCCTCAGCCAAGCGGCAGCGGCTGCTTCGGCAGCGGCGCGGGGGCAGCTGCAGCCTGGGGACTCCAGAGCAGCACTGGCTGCCACGTGGGTCCCTGGCAGCCACCCCGCTGCTGCTGCTGCTGCTGCTGCTGCTGACCCGCTCGGGCTGCAGTGGCAGGAGAGCAGCGCTCCCAGCTGCAGCTTTTCATGACACTTGACCAAAACCCGGTACTAGTGACACCCTGACGAGCCCACCCAGGGGGTACCAACCACCGCAGTGACAGACCCTGTGCACCTCTGCGTGCCTCCTGGCTTCGAGGCCGAAGCAGTCCAGTCACTTACAGGTGTAAGTGTGAGTGTGTGTAGGTGTGTGTATGTGTGTATATAGATATATCTATATCTATATATAGATATATATCTATATCTATCTATCTATATATAGATATATCTATATCTATATCTATATCTATATATATATATATGAAAAGATACACTTACCTGGTCACTCCGCCTGTGTATATAAAACTAGATATACATACATAGTTAACAGCTAGAACTAAATTAGAAGGCTCTTAAACCCGTGCCCCATCTCCATCACACACCACTCGGAGCCATCAGGCCTCTGCTCTGCAGCCCTTGTGCGGCGCCGCAGGCAGGACGGCCACCATCTCACCCGTCCTGGGCACGGACAGTCACACACAGCAGCAGACACTTTCCTAGGGGCAGGAGCTGCTCTCCCTTCCTCCCCCCATCCTTGGGGTAATGGGCGCTGACGGTGGGGGCATCAATGGCACCGTGCACGGCCCCAGCAGCAGCTCCACCTTGGTGTTTGTTAGAGGGTTTGAAATCCTGGCCCAGTCCTTACTAGAGTTATCGCTATTCTTTTTCCCAGGATCTGACTTAACCCTTTCTTGCTCTAAGCTAAGCCCATCTTCCTCATAATCCCACCCGTGACAAGAACTGGGTGCGTGAACTAACTGCTTCCGCAGGACCCTGGGATCTGCTCCTGTTGCCGGCCTGTGTGGCGCAGCATTCCCCACCGTGCGCAGTGAAGGCTTTTCTTGACGAGCTCCCACCTCCCCGTTACTCACCAGCTCCTGGCGCCGCTGTTGCTCCCCCTGCCCTTCTCCTCATTGCACGAACCCCCTCAGCTCCGGCGGCCGCAGCCTCGCGCTGTCACAGCCGCTCTCCCTGCGAGGGCCGCGCGGCTGCGGCCCCTCTCCCTTCCACAGGGAGAAGGGCGATTCCAAAAACCAGTATTTGAAATGCCGGAAGGGCTGGGCCTGCCCTATGTTTACCAAAAAAGTTAGTCCTTGCTCTTTTTGCAAAATACTCTATCACTGCTCTGATTGACATTTAAAGACCATCCAGTACCTCTTACTCCAGTATTTAAACATTGTATAAATCATCCAAAATGATGTAAAACTCAACAGCAAGAGTGGCACAATACCCATTATACCATTTGAAATTTAAAACCAAGCTCTACTGAAGCCAACATTTAGAAAAAAAACAAAATACGAGAGATCTTTCTTAGCATAATGATGTTAAAATCCAATTGTTTACTTAAAAAAATGTGTTCATGAACTATGTTCATATGTTCAAATACTTGTTAATTAAAAGGCCTTACCCATTCCAGCTTTACCAATAACAGCACTTAACATCCCTGTGTATTAGCCTGCAGGGAAGGAGGGAAAAAAATGCATCGCAGGGTGCATATAAATGACTATGAAAATTAAGAAATACTGTTTTTTTTTTTTTTTTTTTTTTTTTTTTTTGAGAACATTAACTAACTTGATAGACACGACGTAGCTGCTATATGCAGGTAAGGATGTTGCCTTGCATTTAGCTCTGGAAGAGGCAGACCCCGGCGTTCCGTTGCGCTCAGGCCCGCTCGGTGTTTGCAGCTCAATCCTGGTGCTGCCAAGGCCGCAGTTTCACCCTCCGCAGTCGCGTCCGGCAGCGGCGGCGCCGCCAGGCCCAGGGCGCCTGGAAAAGGGTCCCTGGCCCCAGATCCTGGCGCCAGGGGCTGTGGGAGCTGCTCTCGGATACAGAAACAGCCTCCACTGGCAACACACACAGCATCAGCGAGATGGCATCAGATTTATTGATACTTCCTTTTACTAAGGCACATGACGTATAGAAATAGCGAGGTACAAAAACGCAGGTTCCTGCACATGAGATTTGAAAAAAAATCTGCTGACAAAGACATCAAGTTTCTTCTGCTGAGAACATTCAGTTTTTAGCCATTTTTTTCTTTTGTACCAGTTCAACAAGCAACTTGTATCTTGCTATACACTCCTCCTAAAAGGAAAAGCAAAAATGTTAATTAAAATTTGATACATTAATATTGCTTGAACAGCATACACTACCTCACTGTGGGAGAAAGGATGGTCTTTTTTTTTTTTTTAATTATTATTCATATACTGAATTTCAAAAGGAGAATCTACATCTAGTGAAAAAAGAGTCCCCCCCGTTCCCCCCCCTGCCCACGGCCCCTGCTCTCCCCGCTGCATTTTTGCCACAAATAAACCCAGGAATTTCTGCAGCGACAGGGACCGGCAGGCAGCAGGGAGCAGCGCCACGGAGGGGGACAAAGGGACGTTAAGGAGCCCCTGGGCCTGCAGCTGGGTCACTCGTGCTGTTCACTGAGATGGGCTGAGAACAACACTGTGAAAGTGAGAGCAAAGCAGGTCACCAGCCCCTGGTTACTTGCTGTGGAATAAAAGTTGTTTAAAATCTAATTTGTCCTGCAGGTATTTTAAGTAAAACACAAGATATTTCTACTTTTCCTATCATACAGCAAATAGAACCAAATGCAAATATTAAATTTAAAAAAACCACAGTAATGTTCTTTAGGTTACGCTCTGGCTGATAGGTGCAAGCAGGGCTAAAGCCTCCACCTCTCTGCCCGGTCCCTCAGTTCCTCACAGTCACTAGCTGGCCGGGTGGCCTGTTCCCTGTGGCTGACTCGGGTGCAAGCAGACGGGTGACTGTACCTTACTTTTTCCAGGAACACATTTTGCTATTTTATCCCAGCGATCTGCTGTTCCCTTCGGGTGCTGCTGCAGGGCCATTTCAAGCAGTTTCTGCTGATTTTGAGTCCACAGCTCCTCCGCGGTTCGGCTCCGCTCGCGCCTCCTGCTCTCCTCGTCGCTCTCTTCGTCCTGCTCTGCGCTGTCAAAGTCCTTCTGGCGCCTCCCCCTGCCCTTCTCTCCCGGGACCTCTTTGGCTGCTGCTGGGACCATTTCGGGTCCCCTGATAACTTTCCGCTTGCGCTGCCTGGTTTCGCTGCTCTCCGTGTGATCCGCTTGGAGCCCCAGCTGCTCTGGGACGCGATGGTCGCTCCCCTCCTGCTCCTCCTCCTCCTCCTCTTCCTCACCTCGCTCTCGCTGCGTGATTATGTGGTCGGGCAAGTTCGGGCCGACTTTGACATTCCTGGAGTTTTGGGCCAGGCTCTTCAGCTCCGAGAGCCTGATGATACCTGTTAGGAATATTGCTGTACTTAGTAAGAACCAACTACAAGCAAAAAGGGAATTGCCTGGGAAAAATATTTAAAAAGGTAGCTGGAGTGGTACAGGGAGAAGGCAAAGCTCATATGGCTTAAGGGCTTAGGGACAATGTTTATCCAGCCTGGACGCGACCCTGTGCCACGTGCCCGAGCGTCCCTGCTTAGCAGGGGGGTTTGGGCTGGCTCTCCAGAGGGCCCTTCCACCCCCAGCCTCCCTGTGATGCTGCCGACGCTGCCCCTCGCTCCCCGCGCGCGGCGGGACCCACCTGGCGCGCTCGCCACAGCCGCCTTCGCCTGCTTGGCCTTCACCGTCACCTGTGCGCAGGGGAAGGAGACAGGGAGACAAAATGACTGCTTTTAAAGTTACATTATGTGGCTTTTGAAGATGCTGTGAGCAGCTCAGCCCACCGCTGCAGCACTGTGCACATGGGAAGCCCTCACGGGCAGTAACTAACTTGGCAGATCTTGTCCTTTTAAAAGTATTCTTCGTTTGTTTAAATAATGTAAGCAATGCTACACATTTCTGTTACTACCCCCATAACAATCGCTACCACTTTGGTACTTAAATTTTCTTCTTTCATTGTTAAACCCTCAATCTCTAACCTGTTATCTCTAATACTGAACAAAGGCCCACGCGATGCAGCCTGCTGGCCGGCACTCCCCCGAAACGTAGCGGGGCGACTGCCAAGCCCCACCACAGCCCTCCTAAATCCTGATAATTCAGGAGAAACATTTTCTGTGCACGGAGATCCACAGGATGGAGAGCTGTCTGCTCCCACTCCTGTGTTTGTTCTAAATCTGTGTGTTGGGTGAAAGGCAGCATCAGACTGAAGAGCTGAAGCCAGGAAACGAGCAGGTTTTCTCCCCACCCTGAACTAGGAGGCCCCTTTTTCCAAACTTCCCCACACTGCTGGATAAACCCTACGGGTAAGAACGAGCACAAGTTCCCTGTAAAATGGAGCTTCTTCTAATCACTTAGACACGACTGTGTTACGTGCAGTGATCTAAACCCCGTAACTCAAGTACCAGCTACAGCTGAATGCATCTTAAAATGCACAACTTAAAGAAATGCTCTGATTTCTTAGTATTGAAAATATATTATGAATGTTGGGTGTTAGTTCAGAATTATACGGTCTTTGGGCAAAGGTAGACACTGGAATTAACTACCCTGAGGCGTCAGGACACCCGGAGTTTGCAGCTTAGCCCAGGGTTGCTGCCGGCGGGCGCGAGGCGGCCTGTGAGGGCCGGCCCATTCCCACCTTCGGGATGTTCCCGTTCCAACAGGCCGGGCAGCCAAACAGCAAATGCACCAGCCGCAGGGCCAGGAATTCCTCCACGCGGGATCACGTTTCCCTGCGGTGGGAATCACAGAGCTCCGCAGCACGGCACAGCCGCTGCGGCTTGAGCCGGGGACGCGCCGACGCCTGCAGAGCAGCGAGCCCCGCGCGGGGCTGCACCGCTGCGCCCGCACACGGGACGGCAACGCTCAGGAGCCCTGTCCCGCGCCAGGTTTCCCAGCACGTGTCACGTAGCGCCCTTCGGCACCTTCTGTTTCTAGTCTCTGTTTGGTTCTTCCCTCCCAGGTTGCTGCCCATGGTGTTACGGGACCTTGCTTAGAAAAGTGCTGGAACTCCTTAAAAAGGTGATTGTAAGACTTGACGGTCAGACTTAAGCAAAACAATTTATCTCCCCCAAATCAAACTCCATCTTTAAGATTATTAAATTTAAATGAGAATGTGATGAACAAAAAATCCCAGTCCTAATTAAAAACAAAAAACCCTCAGTCGGAGGTAGCTGCCTGGCATGGATAATTCCAGCTTCCACTGTTGCAGCACAACAAAGTTTTGATCCTTTGAAGACAAGGCCTCATAATACTAAGAGGTACTGATATTTATAATGGGAAATATTAGCTTTGCCTGTAGGATGCGTGACCCTGTTTCTGAATCAACAGGATAGATCACCTGAAACAGGGGATGTGCCAACAGAAATCATCTTCCCTGAAGTCCAAGTTCATACCAGTTAAAACATTTGGGTCCCCCCTGCATTATTAGCACCAGAGTGTCCCTATAGGGCCAGGGATGTAGGAAGGGCAGAGACGGAGCCCCCATCCCTGGCTGCTGATCAGGCTCCACCGTGGCCACGGGCTATACAGGATTCTGTTAACACAAACTGGCCTGTAACAGATTATTCTGAAAAGAGTGAGGAGAACTTGTCACACAGCCGAGCAGCAAATCCTTGGGCACTTACTGCAGCGCTGCAGTGAATTTGCTGGGAATGTCACAGGGCATCACCTATGTTCACGTACACCAGGCAGCTGCTTCTAAACCATTTTACTGTTTTTGAAACACTTCCTTCAAAAGATGTGCAGGCAACTTAGCCAGGAAAAGAGAGAAGAGATTGCCCTGAACTGAAACACATCGGAATAAATTTTGAGCAAAGACAAAGACAGACCCATGAGTTGTTATCTCGGCGACACTGCTCCATTTTCAGGACATGGAACCCCTGACACGTTAAGAGGTTTGCAATTATCGCTTTGTCCTTCAATCTGAGACCGCACGTGCAACAAACTTTGCAAGGGCTGCAACTCAGGACCTTGGATTCAAGCTTCCTCTACAAGAGGCATGTTCCCAAATCAGCCTATCTTCGGTGTCCCATAATAGATACTAATTTTGCTGTAATCTATTTAAATTAGAACCTAAAGCAGCCCTCCTCCTAAACAGGGAAGGTTTTAGTTTTAGATCTTAAGGGTATTGCACATTCTCCCCTAGGTGTAAAACAGCCTCCGGTAGCACCTTGGGTATCTTCTGTGCTTATGCTGACACAGCAAAAGAATCACATCGTGTCAGTATTAACTTTTAAGGGATTATTAGGAACTCACCTGTGTGGGATGTCTGAAATCTGTATTTCCATTTGATTTAACTATTGACCTTGCCACTCAGATTTGCAGTCTTTACTGATGTCAGTTCCTCCCTTTCTGACATCCTTAATACCAATTTAGGGTTCTTCACCAGTGATAATAGTAATATCTAGCGGCTGGGTCCATAGCACTTTTAAAAAGCAGAAGTTGCTCCGTTGCTTTTTCTATTCCATTTCTTACCATACTTTAATTATTATTCTTTCCCAAGGTAACAGATCACTTGTTTGGAAAAAACATTCTTCAATGTATAAAGTAGTTGTAGAAATGCTGCTCTAACCACTGCCATTGTTAGTGCATAATGCTGTAAAATGGAAGTTTTCATGTAAATTACGAGTTTCATCCTTATTCTGGCAAGTTGTGCTAACAGACTGCTTACTGACAACAGCCTTCACCACAGAAGCGTGAGTCAGTCCACAGGAAATCCCGTGTCTGGGGACACGATAGAAACTAAGGATCCAGACTATGGAAATGATCTAAAACTGCAGAAGTCAGGACAGAAGGGACAGGTCTCATGTTCCTGCACACATTCATAGTGCTGAAGAGCCCAACTGCATTACTCTATAGGAAGCAACTTCAAATATTACTACTCCTATGCACAAGTAACTAAAGCATCTTTGTAGTCCGGCGGGTAACAGAAGCCACAAATTAAGCCCAGTAACAGTGTTCAACACAGCAGGTTGTCTCAGACAGGGAATATGATAAAAAGAGTTGGTTACAGCAAAATACGGAAGTAGAAACTGAACCCTCTTAGAACGGGACCTACAGAAAATTTCCTTCTGAGAACTCACTTTTGGCTTCAGTTTCAACAGTTCTTCAGCTACAAAAGGTTTTACTCAAAGCAAGTAGGACTACCTTGATATCTGCAATGACAGCCACACAGAGCTTCCTGCTTCTTGTGTCACTTGCAGTTAGATCCAGATCCCAAGCAGTCCAGATCCCAAGACCAGATGCTACTGAACAAGACACCTAAAACATTCGTGTTTTAGGTCATCCGAGTGATGACCTCACTGAGCTGAGGAAAACTGCAGGTGTTGATAGAGTTGTTTGCTGTTCCCAGCAGCTTCCTGAGCAGTCGCTGTCAGTACCTGCTCCAGCAGTAGCAGCTTCCAGGAGCTCGCGCTCCCGCTCGGCCGGCCACTGCCTCTGTGCGTGTCCTCCACGTGTTCATGCTGTGCAGGAAAGGCAACATCTGCCAGCTATGGGAAAAGCTCTTCAGAGAGAGCTTGTGAGGAGCTAGGGCTAACACGCAGCAATGAAGAATATCTTCAATCTGAGAAGCTGACTAGGGTAAAAAACAAAGAAAGCCAAACAGAAGGATTTAAATTCCTTCCTGGCTTTGCCTCAGCAGTAGTTTTTATGGATCCAACCTTCCAGAAGAGCAGAGAAGAAACAGCCAAATACGAAGTTAGAAGCAAAAACATTACCATGCTGCACCTCTCTTCCAATCTAGGGCTTCTGGTGGCTTTCTCAGAACAACCATAATTATTTAAAGAACTGTTTGGCCTAATTCAAATAATAATAATGACCCAATCCTTTATTTTCATGCAATATACTCAAAACTTACACTTTATAAATAGTTTTCCCTTCTAGAGACTTGACAAGCTGCTGAGCTGCCTTCCAGTTTTAGCAGGTCAGTGAAACTTTAAGCACTGAAACATCAAGCCAAATCACTCTGCACTTTTGGCAAGTATCCTTCTTTGCAACTTACTACATTGCTTGAAACTAAATTTTTCACCTTTTGGAATTTTTTTTTTTTTTTGGCACTGCTTATAGCAGTTTGCTTATTAGCTTCTTTCTGATTTGTGCAGAAGTGTGCACACACTGGTGTGTGTCCGCAGTGAAAGTTACATGTTGAATTTAATGCTAACACAGCGCACGCAGGTTTTCAGCACTCTTGGAAGAGCTAAGTGACGTGTTATGAATTTTAACCAAATCTGCTTAGTCCAACCAGTTGCAGCAGTTCCCAGCTCTGCCAGAGCAGATGGGAGGAGGCAGTTGCCAGAGCAGAGAGGGGAACAACCGTGAGTCTGAACATGCAGCAGTTAAATCCTTTCCTGGGAGCTAGATTTGTATTCTGCAATGGGGTTCAAGCCCAGCTCCCCAGGAAAGGTGACGTGTAAGAGGTTACTGGCTTTAGCACCTCACTTTAAAAGCTTCTGTGTATGAAAGTTGTTGCACTGTCTTCTGTAAGGAGGTCTCTCCCTGAAGTGCCAGGGATGCTCTGGTCATGCTTTCCCAATCATGACTCTCAGACATCAATGACAAGAAGATCAATGCTTTCTGCCTCTGGGTATAGAAGGTGTCATGTTGCCCAGCTCTTCTGAGACAGGGGAACTGTGGGGATGCACAGGAGGGACCTGCATCGCAAGGAAACAGCCAACAGCCCCACGCTCCTCTC